AAGCTGGGCCTCTGCATGCGTTCCGAGTCGAAAGCGCCAAATATGGAATCTGCTCGGCGGTAGTCGCGAATGTTATATTGGATCGGATCATCAAAAGACATGAAGGGACATTATATTGCGCGCCCTGAGGCTTGGAATTCAGCGTACGACAAATGCGTGCCTCCATGGAATAGATCTGAGCCCGGCGAAAACATGACGACGCACCTATTCACTCGTAGGGGGCCATTGGAACCGCACTACTGTATCACCCGTTAGCATGCGCTAGGTACCGAGAGCACGCACATTGAAATGGCACCTGCACCTCCCCGGAGTCGACTCGGCCGGCGAGAAGATGCATCCTCGGCCTGAATGCACCTCCTACACCAACCAAGCCGACACGCCTAACATACACCAACCAAATCGACATAAAGTCTCACTATAGGGAGAATAAGGTCAGCCAAGATCTAAAGAGTAGGAACGGATAAGGAAGCAGAATCGACTGGTCCAAATCGACATTGGACAACCAGTAGGCAATCGCACGACAGTGCACGCGCTCTGATCCCAAAAATTGCCGCCTTTTGGGCGAATATCTGAAAAAGAAAGTGCTTCACATAGAAAGGGACAGAAGAAGAAAAGGAGGGAGACCGACACACAAGCCTCCGTTTGGAGACCCGTGGTCCCTTATGTGGCGTCGGCGTCCGTCGCACGTCGCAGTCGCGGGTACGCCGCGCGGCGGACGTCAACGCCGGGACGCGGAAAGGGAAGGCGACAAAGATGAACACTTAGCTGAAACCAAAAGAGTTCGGTAGGCAGATGACTATATCACCACCCGTCAGAATAAACCAAAAACGGGTCTAGGCTGAACGCGACTCACAAAAACAACGGGCCGCGCACTTACAAACGGAGGAGGCTGTCGCTGTATGCGGCACCCTAACCCCGAGTGGTGCCAAAGCCCCCTTGTACGGGAGCAGCAGAAAGCGACCCAGGTTGACGGCGTGGTTTGACCACAGAAGACTTGCGTGCAGCAGGATGCGATGCCTCGGACTTCACGGACGCCATCCTCTCGGCCAAAGGATGACGAACGATCACCGCGGCTACGGTACATCTCAGTTATACAGCCCAGAAGGAAAACAATGGCCAAGATTTCTCACCACGACCCGGAACAGCAAGTTTGGACATAGAGCACCGTGTGACACGCCTACTCTCGAGAAGGATGAGGAAGAGGAGACGTGACAGAACAGGTGTGTCGCGATTAAGGAATTGAGCGCGAAGGCGGGAAACCCAAAACTGAAGGCGAAGAGAAGTCCTTGAGACGGCACCAGGAAGTAGCTGCACATCAGCTGCTTAAGTCCATCTTTTTAGATTTCGTCTAAGGTTACTATCATTGGTAAATGAACCACTGGCGGCCGGACTAGAGACGGCCTTTCTAGTCTCGGTCCAGTCTTGGTCCGAGTCCAAGCTCTATGATTAATGATTCAGGGGCTTCATTAGCTTCATTTCTCGAAGCTTAGGTCACAACGAAAAACAAAAACAAAAACAAAATTTTAATTCGGTTTGCCAGCGTCAGGCTGAGCGGCTAGTTGAACATGTCAATTTCTCGAGACAAGTTTCAAGTGTCCAAAAGCGGAAACGTCCAAAACGGTCTAAAGGTCCCAGACTCCAGGGTTGTTGCCTTGTCGATCGAGGCTTGGTTTGTCGTTCAATCCGTGTTGCCAATTGTACTGGCCCAGTACAATCGGCGACACTCTTTCCCTGGCAGCCCATCTCTGGCAACACCGTCAGATGTCTTCCCCGCTGCGCGTAACACCGTTTCTACACTTCCTGTTTAGTCTTCACAAGCTCCACAGACTCACACCCTAACGACAGGCCATTATGAGAAACCTAGCACGTAATCATTGTACTCAGCTCATATTCAAGTCCAGGTCTGCACCAGGCACCAGTTATCGATGTTATCAGTTATCGCTCTCATCATCGTCACTACCATGTATGATCTTGTCTTTGTTGTCACATTCCTAGAGAATTGTTCCGATAAGTTCCAATCGCAAACAGACAATGCCTACATATTTTATTTTTGCTCATTTCAACTAAGCGGTCGTGAATATTTGCTCGGCGACCTCGGCCTTGATGAAGGTAGATAGGATCATCCTATTGATACGTCTTGTGGCCACTCGTGCAACTAGGCAGCTTCTCCCTGCCTCACCCAAGCTCCTTGGTCGGACTACCTTTGTGGGACTCCCTAATCGTGTCGATATATATTGGAGTATGTTGGAATTTCCTGACAAAGTCTCGCACAGCAGTTTCGACTTGGTCTGCGTAACCCCCTTCTTTAAGATGATTGTCGGATATCTGCATACAGTTGCGCGCAGAAGGGTCCCACGCATTGTAAAGGCGTTGGAGCACCTAAAAGTCGCGTTTGAGTAGGCTTCTATCGAGAAACCGTTAGTAAGAAGGAGGCTCTTGCTAAAACTCAGACGAACCCGAGAGTGTTTATCTCCTCGGACGAAAAGTAGTCGATAACATACGTGTTCGCGTTAACATAATCAGCCCACTTCCTAAATATCCGGCGATAGGCGAAGTTGCTTGAATGATCCGAACAACTTGTGCCTTCGCTGCGCTTAGAAGGACTGGAGATGGCACCCTGTGTGGAGTAGAATCGGCGAGGGCCAAGGTCCCACTTGGAATTTCTGAGAAATTCCGGGGCCCGCCCTCATCGAAAAGTATAATGCCGTCAGACAGTTGAAACGCTGGCGGGAATCTTTGTGCTTAACCAACCGGCGAAGTAGTACATGAAATAAGAAAAAGCTCTTTCCTGGACCAGTCGTGGAAGACGATAGTTAGCTAGAGTTTAGAGGTGGCCATACAGTAATTAGTTAGCAGGAAGCTTATCAATGCCCGGGTGGCCGGTCACGGTTGTATTATCTCGCGGCAAATCCAGAGACAACTCCAGACCTAGTGAGTCAGTCAAAAGCGATGATGTATTCTTGCCGGAATAGAAGAAGCTTCCTTCAATTCCGGCAAGAATCAACTTGTTCATCAAAACCGAGCCACGACAGGGCCAAGTCTTTGGGTTGCTCAGAGGGTAGATATTCAAACTCGACTTGCACATATTCCGACTCGTCTTCCTGGCCTTGGGTCTTCTGCACTCTGTCGAAGAGATTTGCCCCACGCAGCATGATATAGGCCCCAGGCAGCTTGCAGCTCATATGATGCAATGCCTGTGGGAAGGGGTCAGGATGTGCCGACAACTGGGACCAGACCCACCACTAATACCAGAGAGGTGTTGGGTTTGTGTGGCATCGTCTCTACCAACTTGGGTAATTTAACGGGTAGAATCGTCCTCACTGACAGCCTTGCGTTTACTGATAACTGTTGCTTATTTGGCATAGGAAGATTCAGTGAGGAACACAAAACAAAATACTGAAACTTGCAGCACTGTGCTAGTAAGTCAGACTCACCACTGAGTAGCCTCACGCATACGTGAAGGCGATCTTTAGTTGGTCTATTCGGCCACAGTAGTTGAATCTGTTCATCCGGTCGCATCACTCTGGCAACATCCGGCGCCCGCAACTCACGAAGATTATGCTGGAGTGATGGGAAGTTTATGTCAATCTAAAAGAAGATATAAAGGTCCGAATGTTTGTTGGAACAGAAATAAATAATCCTGAAGAGACAGACCTGCAGAACGGGTTAATGGATTTGATACCGTTCCAATAGTTGGCTGCTGCCTTTATCGTGAATCCTCATTTTCAAATCGAAAACATCCTCGCCCTTGGAACCTTCAACAAAGGCAGAGATCGTAATTGAGCATCAGAACATAGGAGGAATTGCCGTTTAGAAGAGAGGAGAAAAGGTAAAAGGATGACGACGAGGCGTAACATGTCACCTGACTTACAGTATTAATATGTTCGGCGTCCGTTGACTTTGTGAACGAATCGACTGAAGCTGCTGAAGTATGCCATCTGCACTTGTCTTGATTGCTAGCGGGACAGAAGAGATGGAGTTGTCAGTTGACCGTATCAGATCGACGTTATTCGCTGATTTAAACCTCGTTCACCAGCACTATCGTGTATGATACCCTTACCCGCGCAGGGGTGAAGTGCACGTCCGCTCTCATCGCCCCGTCTGACCAGTCCGGAAACGATCAATCTCAACCTGCTACCGCTCAGTGTTCTCGTGGGATCCGCATCGTGCCCGATGTCTTGCAGACTCAGCTTAGCGCGTCCAGTGTGGTATGTATGTGATCTACGTCTCTCGAGATGTTCAACTGTAACGCGGCGGTCATTTGAGGGAGAATATGACGCAATCATTGTTCCTGGTGGGGCGAAGGGTGCCGAGACCATGTCCCAATCTCCCCTCGTCCAGACCTTGATCAAAGGCTTCTATGAGCAAGGGAAATACGTAGGGATGATCTGCGCTGGTACGACCCTGATGAGATCATGGATATTGGTAGCCTTTATCAGAGCTTCGAAACAGGTAGCCTTGCCGCGAAAACCTCTCAGCTGCCACGTCAGCCCTTGACATCTCATCCAGTCAGGTCAAGAAGGAACTTGATGAAGGTATATCTACCATAATTCGTGTGGGTGCGCTCAGTGCATGACCCCCGATAGACTTCGACTATCGCGAAGATCCAGTGGTGATCTCCGGGAAGCTGAATCACAAGGTACTTACTGTAGCACCTCATTTCACTGACAGCGTCACTGTGCGCTGACAAACATCTCTTCCCAGCCGCGGACCAGGCAGGTCTACCAATTCTTATTAGGGTGAAACACCCTGGGTAATTCTGACTTCACTAGGGACCGCCTTTCCTTTTGCATTCGCACTTGTCGAAGGCCTCTGTGGTGCACAGAAGCGTTTGGAAGTTGTGCACCCTATGGTTTTCCCTTCCGGAACCCCGTTGTAGGATGTTAAGTCTTTTCTCCCCAGTTCGTCCAAAGTTGTATGTTACAGTGAGAGCTGAGTTCGGGGCAATTACGGGCCCGAGAAACAAAAAGATGCAGTTCACTGAGAAAAAGGGTTCCTAATGACCACCGCAGGGGTCGAACCTGCAATCTCCTGATTTCGACGAATCGTAGTCAGACGCGATGCCATTTCGCCAGGCGGCCCATTGTAAAATTTGCATTCTTCACCTATGATATCTGAAGTTCTGCAGGGCGGCTATCTGGAAGAGCGGCTTTGTGACTTTACATCAGCAGCATCTAGTCCCGATCGTGATCATCGCTGCCGCGGCCATCGCGGGGCCGTCGACCAAAAGAAGAATAAAGCCAGGAGTGAGTGAGTTCCGAGGTCGTCCAGAGCGGTGTGGCAACGATTGGGGGCGTTCTTGTCTTCTACCTCGCAAAATCCCGTTCTCGGATGGTCTTGTCAACGCTGTCATAATTGGCCAATTTCCTTCGAATTCGTTCCTTCATCACCCACAGTTGTTAACAAGTATATCCCTCCGGTTCCCAACTGTCTTGGCTATTTAATTTATCTTGCGGCGTGAGGAAGCATCTGGATTCGTCTCATCACGAAGATCTGCGGAGCTTTTAAAGTCTCTTCGTTTCATTCTCTATACCTTTGGGTTGTACGCAACGTGACGCAGCTGCTCGAGCAATTGTACGTTTACAAGGGACTCATTTCTGAATTATCCCTTGCCATGTGGCTCTTCCATTAAAATTGAGTTAGGCGGTCATAAGCATCACCGTGACTTCGTTCACAGTGGTCACCCCGTTGCGCAGCCTTTCTACCACCACAGCGGATTGGTTTAAGGTCCTCGTCGCGCCGGCGCAGACTCAGTGAGATGAAATACAGTTGGGGTCGAGTTCACCTCTAGTCTACAATTCCATCTTCTCTTCCCATCCTGGGTTCTTTTGCAGTAGAACGAATCCCTCCAATACGCTCGCAAACGGAATGAACTCTTCCGTTGCAAGTTCCGCACGCTCCGTCGTGGCCACTCGTACGGGTGTTTGGTACGTTTGGAAACCAGAGATGGTGCGCGGCTTCCCCGCTTGACCTACGACATCGACAGCCTGAGAGCCGGTATGTTAGAAGTATCCTGACTGGGTCGGTTGAGACTTACTGTGCCAACTCGGACGGTGACGGGCTTGGGCTCAAGATCGTCGTCAAGAGTGATCAGGAATCGGGGATACATAGCTGGAACAAGGAAGTAAAGCATCCAATGGTACTTATCCAATATGACTATGGCAAAAGCAACGTTAATTCTCTGCGCATGAACTGATTAAGTGAGCACTCACAAGCTTTCGCGTCTGTGAACGCTGTAAGTGTTGCAAGTAACCAGCGATCGCGGTTTTGCTCAGAGTCGTCCGATCAAGGTAGAATGGGTTGATGCCAATTGTGCCTTTACCCATATGCACAAGGCCTTGGGCGATCCGTACCATGAAGAGGCAATCGGGTTCCTTGTGGTAGTAACCCGCGAGTTGTCGCAACATCTGGGCAAGGCGGGCATTATTCGTCCCTGCTCCGACGAGACCCATGGCAAATATCGCGTTAAGGGCAACAGCAAGGTCATTGTCGTGACTATACTTCGAAAGCGTATCAAGGATAGGAAGTTGCGGGTTTGAAGCGGAGACGAGACCGAGCGCTAAGGGCACACTTTTACGGATGACGGGGTCACCGTAGTGCATCTATGATGGAGTTTGGTCAGACGGGTTTGACATAAGGAACAGAATAATACATACTAAATGGTTGAACTGTCGAAGAGACATCTCCGCACCAATATCCTCGCCCATGGCCACGAGTGCAATCCCGAGTACTGCGAATGCTTGGAACGTGTCGTCTTGCTTGGTTTCCGCCTTTTTATCACCTTCCTGCTCTGAATCCGCAACAGGATCTTTGGCATTGAGGTGTTCGCCGCACTGCTGCAACATTGTCTGCACACGGAGAACATTGCCAGTCCCAGCGAAGGCACACATCTCGACAAGAACCTGAATCTGCTTTGACGATTGGTGAGGAATCGCTTTCAGTGTTTCGATTGTCGCATCGTACGAATCGCTCGCTTGTACACCTTTTGGCGGAAGTTTAGCCCAACGCGGCAGACATTTGGGGCATGACTGACCGACATAAAGTAGTGCGAGGCCCAACCCCAAAAAGCGCGTCCATTTCTCATCAAGCGCACTGTCCTCCCTTTCCATCAAAGTCTGGAGGATAACACCGGCAGCTTCGCCGTTTTCGCTTCCAACGAAGATAAGACCAACGGCGAGCGCAGCAAGTGCGACGATCTCCATGCTTATCTCGTCATCAGATACGAGAGGAATTAACATGAGAAGGATGTCCTCGCGATGAGAACCGGCGTAGGCGAAACCCAGGCCAATGATAGCGGATGTCCGCAGTGGAACGGACTTATTGATTATGTGATCGCCGAGAAGCGCCAACACAGCGTCGGCTTCGGAACGGACGCCAGTGTTAAGGATACCGGTGGCAAGAAAAGCACCAGCCTACAAGTCGTGTGAGTTAGGAGGGGGGCCCAGGTATTAAGATGAGAGTGCAAGCCTTGATATACTCCTCGGAGGAGTAAGTGTATTTGTCTACATGGCTCAAACCTATTTCGGTATCCCACAGTAAGCTGAGACCAAGGCTCGCAGCCGCAGACAACATTCCTGTCGGCAAGGTGTTAAGCCACCTATTTCGTATGAATGTCAGGATGGATTCCTTACCGTGATCTTTGTTCTTATAAATCCAACTGTTACCCTCTTCCGCCTCAACCATGAGCTTGTCATTTCCGAATCCTGCGTTGACGAATGCATTGACGAAGGTGCCAGCTAAATTGCCCCGTGCCGAGTCGACGCTCGCTGTCGATGATCCTTATAGGGGAAGGAGACTGTAAGCCATGCGTAATGGGATAACATTAGACATACGAGAAGTCTCCAAGTGGGATTTATAAACGTCCTCCAAGCTCTTTGGGTCCAAAACGCCGAGCTCCTTTCCGAACTGTTTAAAATGGGTGCTCAGGCGCGAGTTGTATAAGATTTCTTGTAAATCTTCAGGTAGCTCCTCCAGCGTCTCATCCCCATCGTCATCGGTGGTTGAGTGTTGAAGCCAATGATATGGAACTTGCGCCCGGGCGAGGATAAAGGCAAGTTGACGCTTCATCTGCCTGTTTAGCCATCAGTGGTGAGATGCTTTTCTCATCTCATATATGCTTACGGATTGCCGGGAGTATGAAAGTCCTTCCGGATGAGTTCTGAGTCATTGAGCCGAATAGCCAACGAAAGCGCCTCAGGGAACCGTTGATGCTTCTCGTAGATCATATGTGCTGTCTTCAAGAATGCTATGTCGTCCTGTGGAGGAAGTAAGTTCACACATCTGGCATAGCGGTCAGAAGTATAATACCGGGATGCGAGGAGGAATTACCTACGCAATCATATATGCAGCGACACGATTAAAAGTGTTTGCGTCCACGAGGTCGACAATCCGATCTATGATTTCCATCTCTTCTAATAGATCAACTGCGTCCGGCTCTGCATTGTGCTTGAGTAAAAACTCTGCGCAGACCAGCGCAAGATTATGGAGGTCCTCTAATGTTCCGACAGGAAGCGGTATTTGAGGTGTTACCTTCTTGCCCTTCTCTTCGTCTGTCGCGACGATCTCGGACCCGGCGGCATCTGACTGTGTTGTGGGTTTCGTTACCTTCTGCCTGTTCGCGAAGATTGTACTCTTCGCCGAGTTCAGCAGCCAGATGTCGGACGTACTCGTGCCCCCAGTCCCCAGGGTCGGCGAGCGGAGATGTTGGAGGGCGCATTGAGGCTGCAAGCAGGCGGTAGCGTAGTGTACCGCGAGGTTCGGTATCAGAGTATGTCATAGCAAGGACTGAGAGTATGTCTGCAAAGAGACTCTGTTCACCGGCGATTGGGGTCAGTCATTCAACCACAAGTAACACTGAATGGGGACCTTGTCTTCTGAAGAGGACCAAAGCTCGTACAGACGTTGTAGTTCAGGATAATGAGGTCGAAGAAATTTCAAAGGCTTCGGAACAGAGGTCATGGATGAAGTAGATGTCCGTATGAGGGTTCGAAGTGTCTCAAGGGCAGGACGGTATAAGGTGGTATCTGGTTCCTGTCGGACACTCAGTCGAGTGGCCCAGAACGTGAGAGATAGTGCACACCTTCAGTCGTTCCACCAGCATTTCCAGCTCTCCCCGAAGTTGTAAATCCTCTTCAGACTAATTATTATATTAACATGGCGGTCATGTTAGGCACGTCTGCGACGTACCAACTCCTCCCCTTCTTTCTCATCCGGTTTCTTCTTGGAAACAGCACCATTCTTCTCGCTATCTTCTTTCTTTTGTGGGTCTTTCGACGGGACAGCGATGGCCGCTTTGGTAGGTTCGGGCATAGTGAATGAACGGATAAGGATAAGTGAACGCGCGTTCGTCCGTGTCGAATCGCCCTGGCTGAGCGCGACGCGCAAGTCCCCGTGACACTGTCACGACAAGTCACAGATCCAGAAAAGGTCGATCATTATATAATCGACATTTGGTCGTCTCATCAGTGGCGTAACAGATCAACAGCAACGAAACATCGCGTATCACACTCCTTTCTCGAGTTACTGTACTCTCCGCAACAACCGGCACTCTCACCAACGCGCTCATGCGCTGACTCGATCCTTTTTACTTTTTTTTTCTCGCTCCTTCAAGCTGTTTGGCCGCATCTCTTTCTACGCAACATGGCTACGGTTTGCCCAGTTTCCCCTGTACCAGAGAGTGTTTCTAACCGTCTGAGGCAGGCAACCTCTCCACCTCCCTCTCCACCCGTCTCCCCACCTGGTCTTCTTCAGTCATCGTCTTCTTCCACGGCCGATCCTCCTACCAATAAACCTCAGCTTTCCCCTCACACCCCACCACGCGGGCGGCCACGGTACCCTTCCGATCTTGCCCATGGTGGGCCGCGGGTTCCTCTGCATCGTCGTGGGACTTCAAAGACATATGAACGCCTTGAAGACCTTCTTCAAGAAGCTGGGTATAAAGAGACACGTGTTTTTACCCCTGAGACTGAGCGGCATCGAGACCGCGAGCTCGGGCAGGGAGAAAGACGGATGGATGGCCGCGTAAGGAGCGGCATGGATACAGTGGTGGGATTTTTGGCAGGGCTCGTGTTGGGACAGTCCG